TACAGGTGCTAGTACCATTCTTGTTGACATACATGTAAGTTCATCAATCTTGACCAAAGACTTGATCAAATCATCTCTATGATCAAATCCACCTTGGGTTGGTTTTGATTTTACCACAAATTTGTTCAAAATGTACATTTGTCCCATTAATTTATAGTGGGTTGTATTTTCGATTTTTTGTTTAGTATTTAGCAATATATTATGATGTGCATGCACATGTAACTGGTATTTGACGGCTGAGTGGGATTTTTAAACACTTTACATAATCATTCTTTTACTTTTGTACTGACGGCCAGCCATACTTTCAGCGCTCAATTGCAGGAAACACAAAACTGTGAGGCAAAACAAACAGACCCTACACTGCAGCAAGGCAAGAACTCAATGACCAGTGACGCAGAGTCACGCCAAGGTTATAAGCTCTCATTAATTAGACTTCACATTCTTGGCATCGTCCAGGAAATGACACGCGTGTTAATTGCTGTCACAATGTTAACATTCGTGAGGTGCGTGGAATTCCACCACTCCCAAGGCATAGCAGGAACCACTGTGGAATGAGACTGACCGTTGCACACAGCATCAAACCTTACGACATGTTACAAATACAACACATTGCTTTGCCACTACATTATGCCGATGCCATTTCCCAGAGTGGGGCTCCATTCAAGTTTCATACTTGTGAGTTTTGGAACGCTATGTTTTATTAGAAATAGTAGCACAGAACTCTATGCCAAGCTTTCAAAAAGAAAGAGAGGGGATTTTTTTACTGAAATTTGAAGGAGAGAAGTAAAGAACATGATGTACGGTATGGACAGACCTTTGGCATTGGAATGATGAAAGTGAACTTGCCACTGAAGAAAAACAATTACAAAACACACATAACAAGTCAAGACACTAGTTTCTACATTCTATGAAATGTTTCCTCAATCCCAAATTTTCAAAATGAACCTGCACCTGGTTTGAAAGTACAGGTACATGTACATGTATGTACCAGTGCAAGTACAACACATAACTTTCTCAGCAGAGATACATGTAGCATTAAGTTACATGGATAACTGCAATGGTGCTCATGCAAGCCACAGCTGTACCGGTAACACAAAGTACATGTACATGTAGCTTTCAATGTTGACCAACTTGGACGCTTGAACTTGCAAGCAAGAGTTCACCCAAATTAGGAAGCTTAAAATTTAAATGTACCGGTACATACACTGTACATGGATGCAAATGTGTGCTGGTTCAACAGACTTTAAATGCATTCCACAGAGTCTGCACATAACTTTTTCAGCCAGAAAGTGTGTTCACCCCATAAAAATCTTTTAAAAAAAAACCAAGAAAAAAACCACCTGTATGACACTAACTGAACATTTCTGGGGTGGCTACTTAAGCTGCACCTCGTTGCTGGCACATCTGTGGTTATGGAGGTTTGTCACAGGACGTAACATGATGGGCTAAAGACACTTCAGGAAGTACATGTATGTATGTGCATGTACCACGTCCACGGAGGTGCGTGCATTTTCGAATCTGGGTATTTCTATTGGCAATTTCATGTACATTGTACGCCAGGATGTTGGGAGTCTTCGAGGGCGCGCGTTTCCGTGCACATCTGCGTACATGTAAACTGAACGCTGACTGTCAAAACTCACGCAACTGAAAATCCTCTCAACAGGTGTATGTTGCAGGCTTCTAGTACGCAACTGGAGAAGGAGAATGCTCGGTGAGGCCGTTTTACCAGGAGGAAGATTGGTACGTATGTGTATAAGTCAAAGATATCTGCTCAAGCAGCCCATGGTTTACTCAAGATGGTTCCATATTTATTGAGGAGGGAGGAGAGCTCTGCTGTACATGAGTACTTTTATGTACCAAGTATTTACAACGCACCGGCATCTTATCTGGCAACTTGTCAAACCAAGTGTGTTTTTTAGTTTTTTACAGACGGGAGCTTTCGATGGAGTGCTATATTGGTGAGATGGTGTTCTGGTACACGTTGTACCGGTAAATTATTAAAGAAAAGACTATGACACACAGTTTATCTATTATAAAGAACATGTTTCTTACATGTACATGGATTACTATAGCTCATACATATTCATGACGGATTGCTGAACTCTCATTGGTCTATTCACGTTCACGCGCCAGCCACTATTTTTACTGTTTGCCAAGCGCACACATGATCGTTTACGCAAGGTGTAATTTATACGCATGCGTTTTTATTACTGTCGCCCGGCTTACAGTTAAAAAAACACATGCGCAGTGTACTGTGCACTCGCGGTGGCTTGAGCCTACTACGGTATGCAGCTCATATGAAAAGATGGCGGCACACATTGTTTCTATTTTCCGAGGTTATTAAATAAAATATGTACCGGTATGAGGTATGGTATAGTAAAACAAATACAGCAGGGTTTGTTTCGGTTGGACAGTCGATGTTGGCTCCCCTCAGGTACCGGGAGTTGACAAACTACAGCTACTGCGGTATTCGCCTCGGGAACTAGTTTGTCAACTCCCAATAAATCGGGGAACTAACATTGACTGTCCAACCTCAAACCGCGTTATACTTACAATATTTGGTAGTCAGACTATACTACAGTTATTGCCAATGCTGTTTGAGCACAGGAATGAGGCTGGCTGACCATTCCTGCATTTTAGTGGGATCTTGAACTGACAGACGCTAATGGATTCTGCCCTACAAGTAATTAGGGACCAAATTAACTGCTTACCAGGAAGCTCTAGGGCTGTGGGGTATGGCAATCAATTGGAATGCTCCTAATTTGTTTTGGCAAATGACAGTTCTAATTGTCACAAGCTCAAATCCACAAGGCAGGGAAGAAAATGCAACTTGTGAGACCCCCCCCACTTGTTATTAATTGATGTTTGTGTTTACCCAAATTATCTCCACAAAAGATCACTTAAGTAACCTGGTGACCACCAACACCCGGTGATGTTTGCCTTCTGCTGGACTCTTCCCCCCAAGCTAAAGCGCAAGGCTAGGTTAGTGCCTCACCTGTTCCAAGGTCTACTTTTCAAGAAAAGAGAAGAATGAAGAATTCCGCTCCACAAAACAAGCTGGGCAAACAGGGGGGGGCAGTCCAACAGTGGGCCCCGATGGAGGCTCAATAACAATAACATGGTTCAGGAACTCTGCAAAGACTCCGATAAACGGGTGAGCCATTCCCAACAAGGGGATTACATCGAGCGGAATTCCGGGGGCACGGTGGGGCCAGGGGGAAAAAAAGGGGTCGTTGGGCTATTATCAAGTGGGTCTGTTTGGATACAAATATATACCCTATATTATCACCTTTTCTTCAAGAGACAGAGAGAAGCCTTTAAAATGAACTCCCACCAAAAAAGGGGAAAAGAATACACTTTTCACAATACATGAGGGTATTCCAGTAAGAAATGGGACTCCTGAAGCTGGAATTTCTGAAGCAGGCATGCAAGATTGCTGCGACAAATTGAAGCTCCCCAAACCTTACTTTCTAAAGGAAAACCATCAACTGTTTGAAACCCCACCTTGCCGATGCAAAAGACGGAGCATTCCTTTCCGGCTAAGAAAGCTAAACACGGACAGGACGGAAGCCCCAACTGACAACAAAGCTGACCCAATCTGGAATGCAACAAGCTAATCAAGGCTCCATTTCTTTACAACTGCAAGCATGAGAAGTGACAGGCTGAAGAGTGGAATACTCACGGCTTTACTGAAGAAGCAGAAAAAAAAAACCTCCACATCTCCGTGGAGGAACCCGTTTCCGCTTCTCCCCTTCAACCAAAAATTTTCTCAGGGATGCGGCGGCCTCTAGTGGGGGGCTGTTTTCCCCCTCTGCGGAAGAACTCAGGTGCGGAGCAGGTGAAATAATCAAACGGGACTGCGTTATGATGGATTGATAGGGCCCAGGCAACAATCTAAACAATGCAAGGTACGGGCGCGCACTTGAAAAAATATGTGGAGACTGCTTTCCCAAACATGGATTCATAGAGGCAAGGATGCCAACAATCAGGACAAACTGAAAAGACGGAATGTTGTTCTTCCAAACAAGACCGTGATGTTATACCCATAATAATCTGGCATAGGAGAACGGCTGAGGATTTTGTTGGGGGATGGAGGGGGGAAGAGGCTAACAGACAGAACATATACAAGGTACTGTACATGTATGTATACACGTACATGTACATTGTACAGGGCGTTGCAATGAACCCATGAGAGAATTACTGTACACATGTGTACTGTGGCTGTCTGAATCCTGATGTCCACGTAAACTTGGGAAGCGGATTTAGAACATTTGTCAGCAGCAAGGACCCACCGAGGGCAGACACAGCAAGGCTCATTTCCTTGGACTGGGGTATGACACAACACAGATGCTAACAGGGAATAAGGCCTGAGAGGAGTACACCTACAGGTGGCACTTCCTGTGCTGCACAGGCCCCTCCCACGACAGATGCTTGATGATGATCCCGTATCTTCCAGAGCCTAAAAAGTGGTGTTAGTTTTAGGGTCGTGAAATTAGACTCACAAGGTGACACTTGTTTCAACCAATGCTGCCAATGAGAGGCACCAAATCAGCAGACCTGTTTGACGATTATTCAACATGGCTGAAAATCAGTGTCCAGTGACACATTATGTATGTACATGTACCTGCTTTGACTCTGACTTCAGCGTCAGTGCAACACAAGTAGATCCCAGTGATACCTTCTATACATTTGTATGAAGAAACTGTGCTTGAGTCAAATGCCCCACTTACAAACTTGTACATGTAGGCCTACAGTGTACTTACGGAGACGGTAACAATCTGCAAGTAGAACTATGATGTTGGTAATGACAGTGCTGCAGGCACAATTTCAGGAGTCGCAATGAAAATCTGCTAAATTACATGCAAATTACACGCTGAGCAAAGACTGGCACAGTACCAGTCACAAGCAATAACCCTGGCACGGCATTTTGGCAGGTAGCCTGTTTACGAAAACTTTACGCTAAGAAAATAATTCTGCACTTCTCAATTATTCAAACTCACCTGCTCAATGCTGTCTGCACACGGCCCACACTGCCCCCTGTCTTGCCCCGCATTGAAGGCATAGCACCCGGACAGCGACACTGCTTCGGGCCACGTGACCGTGTTCAGTATGCTCTCGTCCACCCAGCTGCACACATCCCAACCAGCCGCGCACAAGGAAGTGGCATTGCCCACGTGACCTTCCCACGATCCCGAGCAAGCTGCCAGTCGGTGTTTATCTTCAAAGCCTTCAGTTACGCCATCAGAACAACCTGGAGTTTTGAAGAAAAATATCCCCTTAATTTAAAATCAGATAACGTGAACACCAAAAAACAATGACACATAAAATATGTTCAACAGTTTTCAACCTAATCCATAGAGTTTGTAAAAAGGTTGGATTAAAAACTGCTAGGATGAAAACTGAACTGACACAGAAAATACTAATACCCAGTTACAGATGCTTGTACGAGCTTAAATAAGGGCCTTCACACAATCCAGTAATTGGTCGTTATTTTACCCGATCAGATCACGATGTATGGCACTGACAAATTTACTTTCCTCATACTTCAAATTTCAACCTAGAATTCTCTCTCCGAAGGTTGCACATACTTACTAGTAAGGGAAGGAATCTCAACCATTTCACCAAAGCAACCTTCACAAATAAGGATCAAATACACCTGTCAATTATTAATTCGTAGGGACAAATCGCCATATGACAGCACTTTGCACATAAATCAATTCAGGCCACTGCTTGGGGTACCAAAAAACTTCAGAGAAATCCTGGTGGCAATAAAAATAACAGGCTGCTGCAAGTGTTACGACGCTCCATGCATGACTGCAAATTTCCATTAGGCCTACACAGCACATGTTGGGTTATATCATATGTGATCCGCTCTACTAAAAAAAGGGTAATAAGTCGCGCAATGCCAAAACATTGTAATGGCCCGTTCTGTTATTGGAGAAGGCAAAATTTCTTCAAAAATGTGATTTTGTGTTTTTTCATTTAATAGCATCTGTAATGTTTAGATTTTCAGAATTTGTGACTACAAACATGGATACTGATGAATAAAGATGAAAAATTGATCATTCGGTAGGAAATCCTACATAGCATTGTGTTTCCAAGTGCTACACTTACTGAGCTTTTTCTCGAATAGTGCATTTATTGAATCCGAAAATGTGGACATACAAATGTCTATCTCCGGAACGCAGTGCACTACATGTACAGGGGTCATTCATACATCAAATTGTAGCTTTTGATGTACAGAACCCAGCCACATCCAAGAATCATAACCTGAATCCGGTGACTCGTACCCGTTTTTCTAGAGCTGGTCATACATACACATCAAGACGACTTGGACAGAACAGAGAAGAGAGAGTGAATTGGAGAAACAAAAACTGACCGACCCCCCCCCCAAGGAAACAGCCAAAGATGTTAGAACTCATGTTGTGCATCAGCTAACACCTTCCCACACCAGGGCTCTCTACCTCTCATATCTCCCCTGCAGAGGTATTTTGGGTATTGGGTAATTATTTCCCCCACAGAGCATGCAGAGGAAGTGCTCCCTCCTGCCATCATCCTTGAGAATTTTATTAGCTGTGTGTGGTTTCTGTCCCCTATTCCCTGTGAAGGTCTTGGGGACTCTAATCCAAAGGAAGGTATGGGGTCCAGTTGGCTGGTAGTTTCTTGCCTAAGACTGGATTCAGAATATAATAGATTGAATAACAATGAAAGTAAGACAGCAACGTCCACCAAGAAAGATTTATTTAATTCAAAGGTGAGCAGATGAAATGAACAAAGAAGTACAGACATTTTATTGTGACTCAGTTGCACTCGTACTGCACACTAAAACTGTCTTGAAGGGGAAACTCACTCAGGGTGATGAGAAAATAGGACATTTTCTTTGCCGCTGGGTGTTTAAAATGGATATTGTTTAACCCTAACCCCCTGGTATGTAAAAATCACATTGAAATTGGAGGAGAACCTTTGAAATACTGGGACTAAGATCTTGCTTACTTTTAACACTCTGACCTGATACAATGGTGCTCCACCACAACAATATCCTTCCCCATCCAGCACTAATCAAATCACTCAGGACACAATGCAATGTAAACACTAACTTCCTTTTTCTTGTGTGCTGGCTTACACGCAAAACAAACGCTGCCCAGTGAAAAAAATGGGGGACTGTAATCACAAGGGGCTAATTACCCTCAAGGGAAAAAAAAACCCAAGCTTAGCTGGTTGATAAACAAAACACCCAAATCAGTTTCAATGAAGATAATCAAGGGGGCAGATCAACAACTTCCTGTGTGCCAGGGGTATTTAACACCCTCCTGAAAATCCACTTAACACAGGGCTTAGAAACTGTCCCACAAAAAGGCTCTGATTTCAACAGACAGAGCCTTGGGCAGTCCCTGTATCATGCGCTCCAGGCTGTTTTAATGCATATAATGTACATAGAGGCCTGGATTATCACATTACTGGTGGCCTGTGGGGTACAGTGCTTGCTTGATGTAAAAAGGAGTCCTTGATGTCAGCAAATATTATGGATGATGGGCAAGTGGTTGACACTTGACAAGAGTGGCCTCCTACTTTCATCTCACCCACTGATGTGAGGTGGAAGTCTTCTCTACAGCCCAGTGGTTTGAGAATTAAATTCAATGCAGGTTCACTCGGGCAAACATCCTTACTTGCCACGATGAGAAAAACACCAATCTCTGTACGGCAATGCTGTCATGGACAATGTAGGCTTTAAAAGTCTCTCTGAATCTTAGAAGTATGAGCACTTTAGAAACTTTTCTGTGGGTGGAATTCCCCTGCGGCCGAGAATGCCAACTTTGCCAAAGTGTGCTAGCTCCTAAGATGAGTTGGTAAAATGGGGGACAGACCAGCAGACGCTTTGTACCATTTCCCTTGTCACGTACAGTTCCTCTCTTCTCAGGATGCACCTGTCTTGTAAACACCCTTCCGGCCGAGTCAAAAATAATGCATATCCACTACCTAAATTTATCAACCACATTTCACACTCATGTACAGAACATTACTTCAAGATACAGAGTATCAAGTTATTGAACTTGGATTAAATGTAGTTATCCAGCTTGAACTTGGATTAAACATAATTATCCAACTTGAACTTAGAATAAATGTACATTAGTTATATAACTTGAAATTATCACAGGTATACTGTACAGACACTCCGAGATAAATGGAGATTATTAAAACTAATCCAACTTGAGTTTCTTGCCAGGTAATTACTGTACATGTCTATTCTCTCTATTACTCTTGTGACTTTGATTTGCATTCCAATATTTCAAGTTTTCTGGATCTCTCAATGTCTCTTTTTTAATCATCATTTATGTGTAATGCTGCGACGCATGCACAAAAGTGATCATGAATCCCCCTCCCCCAGTGAGGAAAAACTTCCATGGAATCCTCTTTAATCCTTCCCTATCCGTCTGCCCCAATCCCTTTGGTTTGAACCTTGGATAAAATGAAATCAATGTGAATACATCTAGATGGCTTCATGATCATTCATTGGCATGCCATTGCTATCTCTTACCATATCCGTGATCTGATGATATCTTCAGCCACTTGTGAATAATAGTAACTTATAAGGTTTGAAAGTACTGCCTACGGACAAGTTAAAATTTGTGCGATTGTCTTGTTGCCAAAGCGGACTTTCCACTTTCTCCATTAACCTGTATTCAAATTGGCAAAGAATGAAACCATCATGAAGACCAAGAAATCCATCCAACACCTTTTATGACAAGGCTGAAAATCACATCATCCGTGAGTCATTTTTCACAGACTGGATCCTATTTTTGAGTCTTCCAACACCCCCGCCCTCCTGCGCCCCCCTGAATCCGGTCCAAGCGGTGTGAAAACGCATTCTGTACAACACATCAGGTTTTCATGAGCCAACACCGTCGACCACGGATGCTTCTCCTCCCACCCCTCCCCCATGAGAAAACCTCTGCACGGCCTTCGGCCCTCGCAATGTGCGAAAGTTCATCTGCAGATCCAAGAGTATCACACGCTGATATCAACGCTCTCTTCATTCATTCACAAAGTAGGGGGGGGCTCACCGGAGGCTCAGGATCTGTTAGCTCAGGCCGCCGAGAGGAAACCTGAACTTGCACAGTGACAGGTGCCAGGTTAGCCGAGTGTAAAATGACTTCTGGAATAACCACTGGGCCAAGTGTCATTCAATCCTCCACCAGGTGTACCATTCTTAGTGCTTAACTTATCCCACCAATAAAACAGCACAATCTAATATCCTTTTTTTATAAACCAGCATTAAATAGTAACTCAACACGGCCGATGAATAAAAAAAAATTCTATTGTTGTGTCAAAATCTGCAAATATGTTTGTAACCCTGTGAATTGAAGGGAAAAAAGATGTCTAGGACCATACACTTGTCTGTGCTACGACTGAATTCAGTCATTCACATCTCTGGCAACCAAGTCACTGTAAGTGTAAGGTCGGTTAATCTCAATTCAGGTTCAACATGGAACAAAGACTTGCCAAACTTTGCATAAAAACGGTGGGGACTGTCTGCATTGAGCCAACGGGCTTCATTCCAAGAAATTCAGGCCTGCAGGTTTGTCATGATGGACTGATGGCTCACTGGGGATCTTCCTCTTGAGGTTCTGCAACTAAGCTGTCAATTATGAATGACTACAATCTGCCGACTATTAACTGTGGCTGTTCCAAGACCATGATCTGTGTAGACAATACCTCAGGCAAAGGCTGATGGATTGGGGACAGTAAGAGTCTCTCCCCGCCCCCCATTTTTTAAGTCAAAACAATTAGAGAGAGGTGAGTTTTTAGGTCGGTTTCATTTCCCATCCACAAAGAAGTGTATAACATGCTCCAAACAAGATTACATGGAAACATTTCAACATATTTGCCCTCCTTCCACAAGTCCCCCCCCCCATTTGGCCTTGAATCTACCCTTGATAAAAGGCTGTTGATGTTTCAATACTGTGAACTGAAGATCTGAACTGACATCAAATTTCAGAATGAGGCAGGCCTATTGCTGAGAATGGAAAAATCTGCAGAGCCAGGGTAGATAGTTACCATGGCGTTTAAAGGAAAACCTCAGGGAAGCTATATTAGGACTTGAAGGACCATAAAGTGTGTTACAACCTCGACCTGTTCTGAATAGATTGATTGTAAAGATGCCATGGCGTTGAAATAAATGGAGGATACAATACCCACTTGTGCCCCCTTGTAGCTTACAAACAGCTTTGCCAACTACAAAGAAAAAGTACATTGCCTCTTGTACTCCTTAGGAAAATTATTGCAACATGCTGTGAATGAAAATAAACACAGCACCTGCCCAGTTGGGCCAGTCCGTCAATAATTCAAAGCCAGAAAGTGCAGCACCTGTAAACAGGGGTTTGTCTGGTGGTATGTGCGTGTGCAGTGTGGGTGGGGGAAGGGAGAGGGTCCAACATGGCAGGGGGTCCTCCCTGGTCTCTTTGATTGGAAGTTGATGGATAGCCCCTGGTTTTACATTTGGGGGTTTGGGACCACCGTGTGGATCAGAGCATGGATTGTTGTCAAGTCAAGATGGAACCACTAGAACTCCACAGCCCGTTTTTGCTTGATAGCACCATCCATGGTTGCACATCCATGCCAAGCGCTTACCAAACAGCTTTTTCTAATGGCCAGGGCTAGGGCCAATTTCATAGAGCTGCTTAAGCACAAAACTTGCTTAAGCTCAAAAAAAAAAAGACTTGCTTAAAAAACACAGGTTACCAGCTCAAAATCTATGTGATTGTCATGCTAACCACAAGACAGGTGAATACCATTCTAAAACAATACATACATGCACATGGAGCTTGGGCTGGTAACCTGATTTTTCAGTCAAGCAAGGTTTTTTCATGCTTTAGCAAAATTTAGGCTGGAGCAGCTCTATGAAATTGGCCCCAGATGTTTTGAGAGCATAGTTCCTTGCCGGATCAGGTTGGCCTTATCCAGCTAAAAATCAATAAAAATGGTCAGTCATATTTCTTTTAAACATCTCCAAACTGTGAATAGCAATGCTGACAGTTGGGACATAAGACCGTTTTGTCACAACACTGTCGTATATATATACGTACGATGTATGAAATCAGCTTCACTATGGCAGGAATGTTCTGGGGTTTTTTTCCTTCTAAAAGTAATAGTTAAAAAAGATGTCTAAAAATACAGGACAGTGTACATGTTCCCGTATATGACAGCCCCCCCCTCCCCTGATGGGGGGGTCTAGATGGGCCAGGCCCCCCTTGTGAGCAGATGCCCCCTCCCCACCGGCAAAAACCATCAGCATCAAAATTATCTACGAGTATTGTTCTTGAGATATGTCCCCCTAGCTGGTAAGTACTGCGGCTCCCCTGATTGATACGATACCTGAAGTAAATGTAGCGACGGGGCTGGTATGTGACCATAACAATGTTCAAATTAAAGTCCGACGTGCACATGTGTCACAAATGGAACTTTTTAATAACATCCCCCCCCTTCTCACGTCAAGTTTGATCTCGCATTCTTTCCAGCAAATGATGGATCTATCTTTTTGAATTATGGACGTATTAACAGACTTCTGTACCTGGAGTTAGTACATTAAAGGGGCAGTGGTGCCGGCCTACACAACCAAACAGTCAAGTGTTTTTAACTTGTGAAGAGTGCTTGACCTACGTTATTTGTACCGCGCTCACACATCAGTCTGGCAAACAAATAACAAACGGGACATGGACACGCAATGCCCTCATGAAGATAGCACATTTGGACTCTGTCCAAAACAAAAAGAGGACAATAAATTAATTCTCTTTACAAAAAAAACCAGAACTGCCAAACAGGTCGTGTTACACTGCCAGGCCCAATCTGTAACACAACTCCCTTCGTTCTACATCAAGCCAACAGCTGAAGACGATTTCTAATGATCAATAATGACTCAGCCACTTGTGCCGACCGGAGATAGGGGCCTTCTCTTGCCAGTCCTGACAGCATCGATCAAAACAGTTACAATGGCGAATGACAACAGCGCAGAGGTATGAACCGAACGGCCGCGGAATATCATGCACAGGTACCGCTACATGTACACAGTATGTAAACCTATGTAACGTTTTCATTATCCAAGTCCAAAGAGAGCCAAGCCCGATATCTCTGAAGCGATGGAGTGGCATTATCTGCCGGCCAGCGATAAAAGTTGGGATTTTTTTGGGGGGGGACTCCCCAGATTGTGTTCAGCCAGAAGAAAGTCAACGCTGCAAACAGGTTGGGCAGGATGCTATCAGGAGCTAAATGCACACTGTTGAGGCAAATTTCCCTCAATCTACCGGTATTCCACCCCTGTTCCATTTGGGCTTTACAGTGTAACTTCCTCTATCCCAGTCCCTTGACAGTACCAAAAAATTACAGATCCGGACTGCTCAGCAATAACTTACAGATGCGGACATACATGTACACATGCACGTCTGTGAACTCAAAGTAAGCAAGCTCACCTGTTGGGTACACACCCTAAACTAAGTATGTAGGCGGGTTCATCGGAAAAAGAGAGAGGCAGTACCACAAGGTACTAGTACACGTCAAATCTCAGCCTCCACTGGCCACCTATCCATATGCTACTAAGTACAACCAACTATGGGATACAGGCCTGGCATTTGGAAACACTGGTAAGAAATCCTAACTCCAAGTTTGCAATTTCTTGTCCAGGGCAGCAGGCAGATCACACACTCCAATTCTCCACCATCCCACCGCAACCCTATGTACTGGCATTTAGCTCTATGGTACCGGTAACCCAATCCATCCATCTCAAACCCATCCATCCACTGGATAAACACTGCACGTGTCATTTGATGCCAGCAGTGTGCCATTCTGGGAGTGGCGATAAGAGAAAAACTCCTCTCTTACACCTTGAAAGGACACTCTCTGTACTCCTGGCAAATACTTTCAGACTTTCTGACGTTTTTCGCTGACCTTGAAAGGATGACTTAGCAGAAAACCAGCCAACACAGCCACAAGAAACATCTACTCAAAGATCTCCGGGAAAATTCTTCTGGAGTGGAGATGTCCTCGAGTGCGAAACTTGCAAAGTCACAGATACCAAAATAGGAAGCAAATCCAAGCTGCATGTGACTTGAACGAGTTGTTGCCAACTTGTATTGGCACAGAATGAAAAGGGATTAACAAGCTGCCAACTCCACAACCAAATACCCGATTTCCCGCACATAATATGCTTTGGCTGAAAAGAAGACACATATTGATACAGGAAGTTATGTGAATTACCTGGTATGCTGCTCAAGACAAAGTGAAGAAATGGGCTGGTTCTCCACTTGCAATGAATCAGTGCCTTTTTATGCATGTACATAACAGTAATAAAGTAATTTTTTTCTTAGAAATTGGAATTATCCTTGTTTCAAGATTGAGACATTCTCTGCTTGTTTCTACCTCCAAGACTAAGAAAATATTCCAAAGAGAAACTACTGCATGATATTAAGAAATAATTGAGGTAGTCTGACCTGCACTGCTGCAGGCTGAAGTGATTGCAAATCTTGAAAATGTCCTTCCACAGAATACAGGTCAGCCGTCGTCAGACCAATTTTCCACCCAAATAGACAAAAATGAAATGACTGAATGCACATATCTGATGCTTCCTGTGAATTAGCTTAATCCCAGCGTATAATTGCGTGGACATTTTTAATATTGTGGGAAGATATACATGTAATGTAAAAGCATGATCGTTAAAAATCACTTGTGGGTTCAAGCTCGTTAGTCTCTGTATATTAATCCATAAATCAATATAACATGTTTAATTACATCAATAATCTTTGGGGTTAGTCACCACTTTGGGTCTCTCCATTTAAGTTGCTATGCCCGATGAGTCTTCGTCCGATTTCAGATCAAACCTTCGTTTAATAATTCTGGCGCAGCAGTTTACTAATTGGACGGGAGATCAGGTCATTAGCCTTTCATCTTGTTTCCAGACTCCCTGCCTCCGACAATCCGTCAATGTCACAGCGACTTTGGGGAAACCGTTTGTCAATTGGGACTTACAGGTGAGTGCCAGTCCTTTCCTCATGTTGGCAACCTCTTTTTGATGAGGCAAGGTGAACATTTCTTCTCTGGTGTGAATGTCAGATTGTGTACGCACGCGATGAACCTCTGAGAATGTTACTCTGGAAGGAATGTTTTCGGAGACTCTCGAGGAAAGAAGAAGAGCCTGATGCCGTCAGGGCGGCCCATCTCCAAGGACGATGGACATACCGTTACTTGTACATGCATGTGAGTGCCTATCCTAATAACAGGGCATCTGTCTCGTTTGCAAGCACCGTTAACTAGAGGTGTCATCCCATCTATTGCTGAGGGTAGGGACCGCAACAGCTGCACTACTCATTTGTTAGGAAAGAATCCTTTGATATCAGGAACAATAAAAGACGAAAGCTCAAACAAACTACTCAGTACTTTCAAATTAGCATAATGGCTCATGTAAAGAAACACTGAGTTTTGTCAGTGTTGTAGTCGAGTACGAGTACCGAGTGCGAGTACTACAACACTGAGCTTTGTACTCTACAAACCCTGAACATGACCACTGGGGTTATTAGCTAAAGTTTACTCTGGCCCTTGCCATGAAATTTGCAATACCACGAGATGATGAGCACCAAGGCTGGAGGAATTCAAGGTGGTTTTTGCTGCACCCAGTGATCAGTACGACAATTTTTGTGAAGAACATGCAACGCAACAAGAAACCACGCCACCAAAGGTTGAGTAGACTGATAAACAGAGTGGTCAATGATGTTTCCACGCACATTTCAATATGACCAGTGTAAAACATGGCCTACATATCCAGAATTTAAGAAGTTGAAGAACACAGCAATGTTTACACTTACAGTGCTCTTAAACTTCAAAATGTTTCTAGATCTAATTCCTGAACAGATCACAAAGACCTGCTTTGTGCAAATGGACAGAGTACATGTCTTTATATAATTTTAACGCTGCTTACACTCTTTACTGAATAATCAAGAAAAACCAAGAAACAAGACTTCAAAAAGAAGAGTGGAAAAATTTCATGAACACAAACAGACAAATGACATTTTACTAGAAAAGAAAATAAATTGGGAATAAAGAGATATAAAACTGATAAAAACAATTCAACCCATTCCTCTTGATTGGTTTGGGTATAACAACATTTTTAGGCAGCCTAAGAATACACAGGCTTTATTAACACGGTTTTAACCGTTGAATTACCTTGGCCAGCTTCGACGAGATCCTGACAGAAACAGCACACTGCTGCGATGAGCCACACAAGATAAATATTCGCAATCCTTTGTCTTCTGGAAGATAAATTCCAAACTGCAGTTCTTCCATCCATGTTTCCCAGCTCGTGTCACAAAATACACCTAGGAGGGGACGGGCACAACTTGCCACCCAGCTAGTCCAAAAGGCAACTTCGTTTGTCTTCCAAAATAAAGAGAAATAGAAGCCTAGAAACGATCGGCAAACATGCTAAACTCCTGGGAATTATCTGAGGTTGGGTTAAAAAAAAAACACACGTTTGTTCTCCAGAGTAACACGTTTTGTTCCGCGGAGATAAAAACCCTGGAATAAAAGGCATTCAGCCCCAACAATGCAGAGTTGTACAAACAAATTGACAGCAGTGGACTTTCCTCCAAAGATCAGACCAGCTACATGTATTCACGGCATAGCCAATCCCGGAACTTGCCAGAGCACACATGCAGCGAGTTTCTTCAGGAGCAGATAACTTTTGTGTGCAACTGAAGCATGGGTTATCTTTGTCCGGAGGGGAGAGAACACACACAGTCTATCTTCACTCGGCGCTGGCACTGTCACTACATCTCCACTGGACCATGGCATACTGCATTACTAACTGCATGAACTACTCCACTATTTCATTCACGCAGAACCCAGTAAGCCTAACAATGTTCTCAGTGCTTTATGTGTACATGTACATGTACATGTACAGTACAGTGCACTGCACAGGGCAGAAATGTGGGGGTGGGGCTTTAGAGAAGCCAAGTCAGCGCTGCCCTGTGATTGGCAGGGACTGGGCTAATCACTAACCAATCGGGTATTGCTCCTGGGCCAAGAGATGGCCAATCAGATTGACAGATTGATAAACTTCTCACAGGGCATGTTTTTTAGTGTTTCCTTGGCTGGGGCAAAGTGGCAGTGGCTCCAGTGATATGAGCAGACTTGCTGTCGCAGAATTGAAGGCAAAGGGAAGCCGGTGATTTACCGGAGCAGATGGAGAGACACTCACAGCATTCCTCATAGTTTAATATTATAAATTACCTTGCTGATTGAAACTATTAGCCCTACTCCCCACTCTAAACAAAGAATGATATTCTTGTCTGACCAAGGGGCACTTGCTGACAGTTAAAAGTTTGATTTCTGAGGGAAGCCATACTGACTATGTGCAAGTACATCACAAGTACGAGAAATGAAACAATAAAGAATAGCCAGAGGAACCTACAAACTTTGCTCATAAATGCACTTGCCAACATTCACCGGTCCAAGTCTCAGGCGAACCAATTTTCTTTGCAAATATGCACATCCTTAGATTGGTATATCTGGTCTACTTCAAGAGAAAGACCAAAGTCATCTTTTGCATCAATGAGCATCTTCGTAACGAATTTCTGTCTTCCTTCTCCACCTTCCTCCCAAGTCCCCCCCTTTCTTGCTCCTGAGACCCTGAGAGGCATCTCTAGAGAGCATTCAGCAGACAGGTACAGTGTTGAGACAAATTATTTATGGCAGATGTTTGCACATGTCTGCACATGTAAACACCGGTATGCTCCTGTGAAGTACAGTACCTGAACATGCACATAGGACAAAATTGACCCAACAACTGAGACAAAAGTCACAAGCACTCCATGACACTATCATGATCAAGGTTACCCATTGTGTAATACAATTCAACTTGATGGCGCTCACACAGAGGGAGTAATTTTGAAATATAAATAGCAGCTGCTATGCGGCGGTGATGTCACACAGTGCAATTCTAGACAAGGAATAAAGAAAACAAGCCTGCGTGACATATAGATGTCCCAGGCGAAGTCATTAGTACCTGTCGACTGACCGTGGGGGAATGAAATGTCACGTCAAACGCAAGACTGAACTGCCCTACGAGCTAAAGAGAAAGCTGGGAGTTTGATGAGGCACGACTGTCGGCGGAGTGATTCTGTAACTCGCTGAAATAATCAAAAGCCAATCTATTCGTTTACCCTGAATTTTCCAGCCGGTGCCAAACCGGTTTTACACATATTAAATCTCATTTCTATTTTTTCTAGCAACTAAACGCAGACGGAGTACACTTTTGCTGATTTTTGTACAATACAGAAAACAATTTGTTTCACGAGGCCCTGATATCTTCTTTTTTTTCTTTGGCAATACATGAAATTTGTTGATCCAAATCTGTTGATCCAAATCGTCATTGATCTCCAAACGGTACTCCATTAATTAACAAGGAGCTGAAATGAGTTCAAAGATTTCTAGCTACAGGTTTCAAAGGTTGTTTACTTGGTGGATATTCCTTTGGTTCAAAAATTATCCTTAGGGGAAGAACTGGCATCTTATAATGAGTTTAAACTACGACCAGGAACTTTAATGACACTCATGAGTGCTTCTTTAAGGCATCTGTTTATCATGCTGATACTGTTTTGGAATATATTTGTAATATCGGGTGCCTGGTGACACGGAAACCACAGAAATCACAACTGGATCATGCAATGTTATTTGTAAGGGGTAAGATTTTTCCAGATAAATAGCGTGCTGATACAGCAGGGGGGCTATTCATGGGAACACCTGTTTGGTACTACTGTGACAAATTGACTGGAATTGATGGTGGGAAGGAAATTTGAAGGGGGGGTGGATTGTTGGACCTCGGTCAGTGGCAAAAGGGACCTGTAGGTAAATGTACAGGGTTTCTTTCCTGGGAACACTGCGGTCTGAAGGAATGTCATCAGACCCTGTTTGGGTCTGGAAATGGTCTGCCTTCTCCACAGCTGGTTGCTGGGTCTTCCAACCCCGGTGGCGTTGGGTTGATCCTGGCGTGGTGGGCCCGGATAATTTGAATTAATGAGTGTGAAATTGCACACCGCTGGTTGAACAGTGGGGCGGGGAACAATAACGTATTTGAATCTCTTGACTCGTCCGGGCAGATGACCAAAATTGCATTATCCGAACAGATTTGAGCCAAAGTCCGGATTTATTGTGTGAAATTCTTCAAAAGGTCAGTGCCTTGAGAAAAATGAAATTCTGCTTGAGGACACTCACATGTTCTAATTCAATCAAAGCCCATCTGTAAATATTCCAGAACACCAGTCTTATTTCCTCTCCAAGGTTTAACAGACAGTTCATGTAGGCCTACATGGCAAACAGTATTCATCACATCAATCTCTCGTCATGTACATAAACTACATCTACATGTACATAAACTACATGTACATGTATGACTACACAACTGACCAACTACGAGCAGAAATTCAAATTTGCTACCGGTAGTGGCAGGTGCACACCTTCCTGCCCAGTGCAAGTTCATGTTTCGCTTACCATTTGACATTCAACCATGCAAAACTGTACATTAGCAAAACAAAGTTGCTGAAATTACTAGCAGAGAAAATATTTTCCAAGCAAAAAAAACCAAAAAACGGTTACCAGCCAAAATGCCATGCAGTTTTGTTTCTGGCTGACTTTTGATAACATGTAACTCACAAATCTTGCTGAACAATGATTCCAATCTTTTGAAGTCAAATCTGATGACACTGGAATGGGATTGTGGGCCATCTTCCTGATGAAGGGCAGTGGCATATCCAGGTCTTGGGTTCAAGGGAGGCCTAAGAGATTCTTTTTCTAAAAATGACTGTCCTTGAAAAGTGCGCTCGACCCCCTTCCCCAAAAAAGAAAGGCTGCAGTACACGTACCTTATTTAGAATGCTGATTTCTTTCAAACAGAAAGCCGAAAGAAACATTCAACATGTCAGCAGTTGTCCCCTCCCCCCTCACCGACAGCCACTACTGAGGGGTTGTTCTCATTGTTATCAAGCAATCTCCCCCCCTCCCACCCACCACAGTATTCACTTGAACAATTGAAAGTGGACTGGCATTTCTCAAGGCCACAAGCACTACTAATGTCATAATATTTAGCAACCTACCCAAAAAAAAAAAAATCTGGGGAGGAATCTGGGACCCAGTGGGCGATGGATTGATGGTCCTTGAGAAAATATAGCCAGGTCTTTGAACTCTGAAGGCTTCCCGGCAAAGTGCAGTGGGACGTGATATCATCTGAAAGGAAGAACTTTGTAAGGCTCCTTTTTATCCTTTCATCCCTCCCCCTCCGAAACAAAAATTTCACCTGGATACAGACCTTCAAGATCCCTTCCATTATTGTTGAATTGACGATACCAGAAGAAGATAACAGTCAGGCTGTGCTGAATATCTGAATAACCGAATATTCATCGATTATCGAATATTTGAATATAATTCTTCAAATTTGAATATTCAAATGCAAAATTCATGAAAAGAGAGGGAGAATTCTTTTGTTTTAAATGAGAAAAAATTGCACACCATGGAGGCTTCTTCCAAGCAGATTCAAATCAGTAACAATAGAAACCTTACAACGATTCAAAAGGTATATTATTCATTAAAAAATTCAAGCTGATTGTAAGTGTTGAGTGAGATCATTTCTTGCGTTGGATGAAGAAGGGTGTCCGTCAGTGTGTTTGATGAGAGAGAGTTGCCAAGTGCTGGCTGTGTTAGGTCGCCACCCAAACCGACGGGTGAGTGGGTACGGCCACCCACCGCAGGTAAAGGGTTGGCCAACTGAGATTCTGAGGCCGTAGGTCAAAGTGTGATACACCTTCAAAATTCTTGATACCACTGACACCCTGAGGAATTGACCAGTCTCCACATGGCTTCCGCCTAAAGTTTAAGTGCACAAACTCCCCGGATTACTGTAAGTTTTACATCGTCCATATTGTTGAATTTGTATGAAGACTGAATATGCTTAAATATGTTATATTTCTGAGATGTGTTTTCTGCCCTGCAAAAGTACCGTATTTGGCCCAGATTTATTGAAATGCAGAATTGGTAGTTGATTTGTAACGTCTTGTGTGGATTTCGTTTCAAGTTTTGGAAATCGATCAAAACTCATCAAAAAAGGACAGGGATTTGTAGAGCTTTGGGTCATTTCAATTTTTGTAGATGATCATTGTTCCCATGGAAGCAACCTGATGACTCTGAGTAAGATCTGGGAAAACCACTGGCAGGGAAGTCCTGAGCTTGATACTTAAGCTCACGCCAAGGCTGACCGTAACTTCGCAGTTACAGCCACAGGGACAGGACGGATATCACCCGCCTTTCCACCTTGGTCTAGAAGTACCCAGCAGTTATCGGACCTAACTGGGGTTTGAATTAACTACTTTATAATTTGTTGCTGACGAAGCTATTAATTTCGTAATGCTTTCTAATTCTTGGTGGGCTTTATTTGCAAACTTGTCATTGGTTAAATTCATTTTGTTTTGAGGATGCCATTATTAATTCAATTGTTTGATTACTTTGAGTTCATTTTAAGCTTGGGTATTTGAGTTTTGCAAAGCCATACAGCGAGATAAGTTCCCTGAAACTGCCGCTGAAACTAAAAATTTGTTGGTTTAACCCCACATTTTATTTTGGATTGTTCAGAGTTTGGATTGTTTCTCAAGTTTGAGTTAATTTCAAGTACTTCATACTTCATTTCAAGTATTTCTTTGTACATATTGTATATAATTTCAATTAGTTTATTTATCATTCTCAATTAAACTTTTTTTCCTTTACATTTCCTTTCTTTGAAGTTAATTCAGCGTGTTTGGTCGTTTGTTTGTCCGTCCAATTTCATGACAGAAGTGTTCTGATCACGTTAGACTGTTTTAGGGTTACTAATTGACAGGAAG